GGCCCCGGCCCCGGCCCCGGCGCCCCTCAGGCCGCCGCGGCCCTCGGGCGGCATCGAGGGGAAGGTCCCGGCGGCCCTGGGGCTGCCGCAGCCTCCTGGTGGCGGGAGCGGCTCCTCAGCGGCTCCTTAGGCGGCCGGTTTGTGTGGGGTTTTTTGGGGGGGAAAAGAGGGGAAAAGCCCCACGCGCTTTGGAGAGCGAGATTTTATTCCCTCTCACGCTCTTCACCTTGGGCATTTGAGGGTATTTTTAGTGAAAACTTGGCGCTTCGTCCCGCCGTGTCTCCCCGGCTCCTGATGGGTCGTGGATGCGGCCCGGGCGCTGGGAGGMTTTAGCGCTGCCCCCGCTGCCGGTTCTTCCTCTTATTCTTGTGTTTCTAAATAAGAAAAACCCATCCCGAGAGGCCTGGCTGGGTGCGAGCTCCTTCCCCGCTCTGCATTAGGAGCCTGGAAAGGCCCCTTTTTGGGAAGGCCCCGCGTCTTTGCTCAGGTCATTTCTGGTGGCGAGAGCCCTCGGTGCCGTTAAGTAACTGGAGGTGTTTGACTCGCGTTAAGTGACGTGACCCAGCCCTGTAGCAGAGAGGCCGAACTGCCGCTGTGCRCACTGGAACGTCCTGCTGCCCGCGAAACCAGAACTGGGTTACACAGAGCCCCGGCCACGTCCGTGCCCAAAGCGGCACCMAGGGCCCCGCCGCCGTTTGCAGAGCCTGGTGGGGAGGCTGCAGCATGAGGCTCAAATCCTGGACCGCTTTATTTTGCTCTTGACGGTCGTCTCACTCTGTGTGGTAAAATAAGGGGATGGTAAAGCTGGGCACTTTTAGGTGCCTCTTGAAGAATGCAATGTTTCTCTCAAATCCCCTAAACACTTGTTTTATGCATTTGTCTTGTGCTTGTCAAGCATTATGAGGGTGAAGAGAAGCTGTGCTTACAGGCAGGAGCTGACGTTTTCCCGGTGTCCAAGGGAAAACCTGGAATGCAAGCAGCGGGACAGGGCTCCCCAAGAACGCTTGAAATGGAAAAGAGTTGCTTTGAGGTATCCTCTGTTGAGGAAATCTGTATAAAAACCTTGGTGTTTGACTATCTGTGCCGTATACTCAAAATAGGTGGAGGCTGGATGTAGTGCAGTCTTCTTTAGAGGCTTCCTCTTGTGGTTCTCCTGGCCTTATTAACACCCCTAATTGCTCTTTACGTGATACCTGTGCCCAAAGGCAGGCAGAAACGCACAGCGCTCCCGTTTGGACAGGGGAAATGTTTCCATGTGGGCTGAGCTGTAGGTTTAGGCAAACTTCAGGTAGAACAGTATATTATTTGGGACAAGTTTGGTGCTCCCAAAYGTTTTACTTCCTTCTTGCCCCCCTGCTGCACTGAATGCAGATTGCACAGGAATGGGTGATGCAAAAGCAGGAGATGGTGGTGAATTCAGCTGTTCAAATGGCAGTGGTTTTTGGGTATGGTTTTCCGAGTTCTTCACACAGTTAGTGAGCTAAGGAGATCAAGAACTGACAAAAAGAAAAAGAAAGCCCCTGAGAGGATGGTTGCWAGCCACAAGATGCTGGTAAGCTGTTGCTTTCTGGGACTCAGGCTACCAGTAATGCTGGTTCAGTGTCAGAATGATTAAGAGCAGGGATGGGGGGATATGGAAGGTAGTACGTGTGTGTATAGGCAGCCGGGGCTCATTAAAGTACGAGGATAACACTTCTGACTCATTTTTCAATAGTTGCATTTTTAATTATAATGTGCCAACTATTTCTGTTTGCTCTTCAAGTAATTACTGGTTGGCCAGTGTGCAGGCATCATGGAAAAGGTCGGATGAGAAATTTGTGAGAGATCAGGAAGAGGAAGGGACTGTGGTCTTGCACGTCAGAGCGTGCGCTGTGCAGAGCAGCGTGGCCACCTCTGCCGGCACTTGAATAACGTGCAGGAGAGCCCGTGTGCTCAGTGGAAACCTAAGCAGGTTGGGAAAGGAGCGGGTGCCTCGGAGGGAGGGAAAAGGGGAAGTAACGCGGAGGCGGCAGCCAGGGAGCAGCCGGCCCCCCAACACCCAACGCACGCAGATCCGGCACTGCTCTAACTGACAGGAAGGAGGGAGGTAGGAGGTTTGTTGGTGCCTGTCAAATGGGCAGCAGCTCCCGGTGGCAGCTGACAGTGTGGAGAGGACGTGGGGATTAATGGCATGAGGTAAGATAACTGTATGAGCAGAGGGCAAATAGAGAGAGGAACGAGGGGCTTTGAACACGCAGCATGAGGGAGATGAAGTTGGTGTAATTTGATCAAAACGACAAATGCTGTTGTGCTTGTCCTGATCCGTGTCTCCTTGCTGTTTCTTTACCGTTAAAGCAGTAAATAGAATTCAGGCTCTTTGCCTGAACTGGATTTGTTCACACTCTGTTCTATCTGCTCTCTATTACTGTGTTGACCCCCAGCTCAGCAGAGATGCACGTGCCGTCTGTACCCGCCCTGTACCTCAACCTCTCGTGTAAACTGCTCTTAGGTAGGTGGAAGGCCCTGCTGCCACACAGCTGAGTGGCTGCAGACTGTTTCAGCATGCAGAACTATCCCTAAATCCCCTCTGACTAAAATACTGCAGTTAAAGCCTTTGAAAAATGGAAGCTTTTCAAATAAGTAATTTACAATTGTTTCAAGCACCCTGTATTTCATTTTCTATAGCCTTTTAGGCTTTTGATAGTACTTCTTGGCAGGATTTGGTCTGTGGTCATTTTCAGCTTGTATTTTTTTTCTCTGCCGTTGACTAAATTACTTATAAAGCTGTAACTGACAGAAACTGAGCACCAGATTTAGTAACACACTTACTAGATGAAAGTGAAAGTTTTAAATACCATAGTTGCAAGCATGTAACCCACACCTCAAAACAAGATCTTTAAGTAAATAAAATAAATAAAATCCTGCTTGATTTGACCATGATCAGTAGCAACAGCGACTGAAGACGAAGCAGTAGTGAGAAATGGGCAGGTGCAGCTGCTGTTGTCCCAAAAAAAGGAGTCTGGGAATGAAGTTGTGCTGCTTGTTGCTGCAAGGTTGCAGCTTGAGGACAGTCTAAGGTTTATGTGCAAAGAAATAAATCCATTTACCATTTTTTGTTTCACTTTTTCAAATCCCAGGCTAGGGTTTTTAACTTGCCTTTAACTTGAGCAGTCTAATTTGAAAGTAGCTGAATTGTTGTGGCGCTGGAATCAGCTGCCACAAAAATAATTGCATGGTACTTTAATTTTCATTGTAATTTGTGTCGTTGTTCTGTCACATCCTTGTTGCAGGTTTTTCATGGATAATACAGTTCGGTGTCTGTGCCTTGTAGGAATATACAATTCTCAGCCAAAGGAAAACATGAATTTTCAGCAAAAGGAAAAAAACCGTGAGGTTTTGTAAATGAAAATGTGGATGTTTCGTCATGACAGTACCTCTGTGAACTAGGCTGGTGTGACTGATACCCCCTGCCACTTACTGCGTGTTCCTGCTAAGAGTTCATTKAAATGTGTGGTTGCTCGCTCGGGAGGCAAGCCCGTCGCTGTTACCGCTTTGCTTGTCTGCCTAGCATTAATAGAGGCTATAGCGATTTCTTCACAGAGGTGACTTTGTTTCTGCAGCTCGGGGACAAGCTGATTACTCATTCAGACCCGAAAACGAGATGCAGTCTGTCCCTGAGGTGTTGCTGTTACAGCTACAGATGCATTACGGAATGCACAGGCAGGTCAGGTAACATACCCGTGGTCATGTGGCGAACTGCCTTTAGATCCATGATGCTCCCACGTCATTCCCTTCCTATTTGGGGTATCATTCCCATCCTATCCCTCACCAATTTGAGGTGCTTAGGGCTTTGACCACATAGTCTCTCTTGCATGTTCACTGATTTAAGTGCAGGGGCTTTAACCATAGCAGCTTGTGGTATTCAGTCTTCAAGAAGAAGCTTGAAAGCTGCTGGGGCTCCATCTGACAGCTTTTTAATCATAAGCCAAACAAGTGGTCACTTAATTAACTGGAGGTGTCTAAGATACTTTCAAACTAGCTTATTAGTTTCAGTATTCCTGGACTGTAGCTTTGAATTCACAGTGAAACTTCTGCAATAATTTATAGTGAAACTTCTCCAGTGCCTAGTAGAATTTTATTCTGCTTTGATTCTTTAAAATTCCCTGCAAGTGTGCAGGCAGATCCTGCCCATGGTTGGATAATGTTATTACTACATTTCTGCTGTAATACTTTCTTTCACAGCGCTTGATCATTAGTCTTTCCAGATTGTTTTAGGGAAGGCCGACTTCATTTCCATTCATCTGAAATGGGTAGAGGCCCAGTGACTCACTCGCAGCAGCAGGGTGGGAATAACAGCGAGCCAGACTCTATAATGCCAGTTGTCTGTGAATGATAGAGCTTCTACCACTTCAGTAA